AATTAATTTTAGTAAAGAAGAATGATAAGAATCCGTTGTGCTAATATTATTGCGCTATATTTCATCCTATTACTTTCAGACAACTCAATACTGTATATAGTACTTTTAATTTGTCGAAATAAAAATGTATGAGTTTTGATAGAGATAATGAAATTTATTATTTACAACTTTGTGGAATATACATGAATGCAAATTTCAAGTGGAACTTTTCGAGAAGAAAAAAAAAACAGCTTAGAAGAAGTCATAGTAATTGATAATATATTACCTTATTTGTAAGTGTGTATTTAGGTAAGGCAAATAAATGTATTGCCTTACCTTACCTATTACCTATCATTTTTGAAATTAAGGCTCTTTTTTTATCAATGAAGAAGCCTTAGAAAGGTTTGAAAAAATGCAATACTCGAAGTAATCATCTTCTAATACCAACATTTATGTCTCTTTTATATCCTTAATTCCTTAATTTCTTTTTTCTTTTGTTCCTTATGTATCTATGATTTTTTTAATAAAATTAATAAAATTACAACAAAATGCCAAATAGATATGTGGTAAACAAAACTGATAATTATTTTGAAAGTTAATTCAAATTGGAAATTTCAAAATTGGAGTTTTACCCGAGAGATTTGGAATTAAAATTTTTATAATCGTGCCATAATTGAGCAAATGAATCAAATCCAACTACTGACATAATATTATAAATATAATTAAACATAAATAAAATAATTAAAATGAAATACAATGAAAAACGAAGACATCACACCAAAAAGAATGCAACCAAAAATTTACATACAAGTTTTTGATATAAAGTTTTAATTTAATTAATAGTGATAATAATTATTAAGGACACAATTTAATTACTTCATAGAATGTGTACAATGATAAGCATTGAAATTGGGACAATTTTTCCGCGAATTATCTAAATGTGATAAGTGAGTAAACACACTAATTAACAAATGAAAAGAAAAGAAAAGCGGAAAGTAACAATCACTCCATTCGCACTGATATTAAGATATATCAGGACTGTGTTATCATCGTTATCATTATATATGTATATTTAATTACTTCTGGAAGTTTTTTGTAATTTTGTAAAATTTTGAAATGATTGCATACATAACGGAAAGAAATTTTTGACGAAAGATTTAACAGGATTTAACAAAAAAGATTTAACAAGATTTAATGAATAAAATTTCCAATTGTTTATGTGAAATAGGAACAATCAATCGGAATCCATTCGTCAAGGTAAAAAAATTCAGGATAAATTCTTTAAGGTCAAGGTTCAAGGTCGTTTGAAAATTTATATAAAAGTGGAGCAAAGAAATTGTTGTTACAGTTTTTGAAGTAAAACAATTGGACAATATAGGAGATAATCAGAATTGTAATTTGATAAATGTAAGAATTGCTTTGATAAAGATTTAAAACAGTTACGACAATTGTTCAAACTACTATCTGTTCCTCTTTTTTTGCTTATTTTCTATTTGTTTTCAATATGTATCCTACATATATTCTTTATATTCCAGTGATAAGCTTAGTGATAGTGGAACACATATATTCTTTATATTCCAGTGATAAGCTAATGATAATGAAACAATTCTGTTTTTTTTTTCTACACTTAAAATGTTGATAAACAGTTGAATCCCTTATTTCCAGAAGTAATTATGTTACGAAAAGAATGAGTATTTCTTTTACTGAAGTATTCATTGTTTGACAACGATTGACAATAACGAATGGTCACAAGTGGTCATTTATTAGTTTAAAATTATTTGTTCTTTCTTCAGGTAATAAATAGATATTGACAAATAGCACAGTTAAATTCAATAGAACAGATATTTGTGAGTAATAAAATTAGAGTCAATCATTACTAGGCTATTTGTAAGCCCTTCTAGAATTTAAAAAGATTTTGGAGAGCGCTGTTAGTCGAGATAAGCTCGGTATGAAATTAGCTTCAAATATGCTAAATGAATGATTTATTTGTTTATGTTATAGGCTTTCATTGAATATAAACATGATTATCAGATCAGGGATTTTGTCTTTACAACATTCCTATCATTGGACTAACTTGTCAGATCAGGTAGATGTTCATTAACCTATTGGAAATTGCAAATATGTTTTGATTATTAGATCTGATATCGATCATGATAGTGTATTGGAAATTGGATAAATGATGACTCATCACTTAGGGCGTTAAAAAAAAATTATTTTATTTTCTGTATAATTAATCACTTATTCGTAACGTATTCTAAATAAGATTGCAAATTTTTACTTTATAAATTTACTCTAATTAGTACAAAATTTCTTAAATACAAAAATATCCTGATCATTTTGACATATTTTTTTGATTTTTCCCGAGAACATAAGTCAATAAAGCATTGAATTTACACGGTGAAAATACATTAATTAATTCC